GGGGGGGAAGGTTGTCTTGCGTGAATGGTCCCTTGCAGGACACACGGTGAACTATTGAAGGGTTTGGGGCAGGCACGAAGAAGGGGTCCGGCCCCGGCCGCCCCGACCCTTCCTGTCCTGCCCGAGCAGGATGTCCACGAAGGGGGACGGCCGTCGTCATGTCCTTAACGAGGTCCCCGAGGAAGGCCTCGCCCGGACTGACCGCCGGCCGCCATGTGGCTGGACGGGCTGGACTCGCCAGGACGCCGACGCCGCGGTGTCGCGTTGAGCTGACCTTGGGGCGTTATCGCGGTGCCGGCCAGCCTGCCGGCCACACCGGAACACTCGGCCCCGCCCCACCACGCCCCGCCACGCCCCGCCTCAAGGAGCGACACACTGGCCGAGTCGCACTTTTGTGACCACTATCTCCCTGGAGAGTGTGACCGTCCGATGAGCCAGGCCCCAATCACCTTTCGCGTGACGCCACTTGCAAGCACAACAATCCGCGCCCTAATTCCTGTCCTGGCATGACTCACGCTCGCACGAGCAGGAGCAGGTGCGGCTGCATTCAGGAGACCTATTTGTTTGTGGTTCAGTGCATCTCGGTCCTCAGTAGTCCCGCCTCCGCCGCCTGATCAGCACCTCGGGCAACAACACAACATCCCGCCGACTGCCGACCCTTTCCGAGATCAACGCTTATTGCTGCCGGCATCTTTGGTTGGTCCCAGTCCTGTAGGTAAATGTATCCTCCAACAATGTGCAACTCCTCGCCCCGGACACGGCCTTCGTTCTACACGGCGCATCACCACAACACACTAATACACACCCCGGACACACTCTTACTTTTTCCCGTGGTCGTGGTGATGCCCCCTCGACCCACCCCACCCCATCCACGCCTCGCTCTTCCCGCCGCGCCACACGCCCGCCCATCTCCTCCTCCTCCCTGTTCCTCCTCCCCCTCCTCCCCACCTTCCCTTCTGCATTCCTGCCAAGTCGCGCGGCGACTTGTTCAGTCCGGGACGCGTGTGCGCCGAGTGATGTGGTGGTAGTGGAGGTGGTGGTGGCGTGCGCCCACCCCACCCCACCACTCCACCGGGCCAAAGGGGGAGGGAAGACCAGCAAACCGAGACGAGGAGGCGGCCCGGGCTGATTGTGAGGGCAGGAAGGGTAGTAGGCTGGGGGTGGGCTGAGCGCGGGAGGCGCCCGGCGACCCCGCCCCACCCCTCCATACACGAGAGGGAGGGCTGGTCCCGCGCAGGCCCGCGCGCGGTGGCGTGGTGCGGCCCGCCCGCCCGCCGCCCGTGCGCCTGCCTGCGGGGTCCCGCGCGGCCACCGCGACTCGTCTTATTTACTGCTTGGGCCCGCAGCAGTGAGGACGCCCGAGCTAGACAGTTGACCACCCGAACGGTGAGTACTACGCCCCCAGGCCAGCCACGCCCCGCGCGCCGCGCGCCGCGCGCAGCCTTGGGGACCAACGCTTTCGCTCCTTCTTTATTTACTTTCGCGGCCGCCTTTTATTAGACTTGGATACTCCGTGAGTGGGTGTGTCGTGCACCGCAGGGGTGGGATGGGGTGGGGCGGGGTGTGGTGTGAGGACGCGGAACAGAGGTGTGGCACCCCTGTGGCGCGAGCAATTAGGAGGATCATGCTGCCGGCCACTCTCAATTTACTAGTACGAGTTCAAACAAGCGCGCGGCACGACCGTATTCCTTCTGTTTCTTTTATTTGGTGAATAATAACTGGGCAGCTATTTCATTTTTTTTTTGTCAGTTCGTTAGTTATAGTACTCAGGTAAGAAGGAAGTTGATTATTGACCAGTGTTCCTGCGCATTCAATTTGAGGTGGTTGGGAAGAGAGGAGAGCGGGGAGGGGTCCAGTCCTGGCCGCGCGTGTGACGCGCTAATATGAAATCAAGTCTGAGCTGGGCCTATCCTGCTGCGTGGACCCTTGTAGCGCGCGTTAAGTGAGTGAGTAGTGACTGAAGCTGGTCGGCGATGGACGCACATCGCGCGCCTGCCCGCGTCGGCCTTGGGGACGTACGGTGGGGGCCGACAGCGCCGGCCACCGGCCACCGGCCACCGGGCAGTGGGCCAGTGCACGACGAGGAAGAGCAGTCCGGCTCCGGGCCCGGCGGACAGAAAGAGAGAGAGATATCACTGTTTTTCTACCAATTTTATGGAACCGAAAATTGGCTCGGTTTTACAAGTATCCTGTGACCGCCTGTAACTCTCCGTCACCCCCCCCCAAAAAAAAAAAAATATAATAATAATAAATAGCTGCAAGCAGCAGTCTTTCCGTTGGGAAAAATTCAATTTCGGACGATTGCTTTTGCGGATGTTGTGTGGACACCTGGCGAAGGCACACTGTGTTTGTTGGTCCAATGCAGGAACCCGGGAGAGGAGGGGGGCAGAGGCGAGGTGAGGTGACGGCAGGTGTGAGGTAGGGAGCCTGGAGGGGGGAGAGTCGCAGAGATCACGTGACCATGGGCCCGGCGGGTTCCAACGCGTTTTTGAGCTATGTGAAATGTCTCATACCTGGCTGGCGCGCACGCGCAGTCCGAGCTAGCAGACGATCAGGCTGGCCCCTCCGGTGCAAGCTCGGCAGGTATGAGGCATTGTGCTGGACCCCGCCAAAACACATTGGAACCGCACCAATCAGAGCGAAGCATGTCACGTGACCTCTGCGACTCTCCCCCCTCCAGGCTCCCTAGTGTGAGGACCAGTCGCGGTGTCAGTACTGTCCCGCGTGAAGTGTGACCATCAGCTCTCCTGTTTTCCCCGCACTACAAGGGCAGCCGCGGTGTCGCGTGGACCGCGAGAATGAGGCATGTGTGCATTGTGAATTGAGGATTGTTGCATATCTGGCCATCGGGGAAATGAAAAAGGTCCGGGAAAAGTATGTTGATTTCGTTGGAACGTTCAGAAATGGACTCGAAACGCCAGAAGGTAGTTTAGTATCACGACCGCAGGTTACCTGAAGTCTTCTCTAGTTTTATTTCACCAAATTCAAATGGGGGGAAATCCAAAAAGATCCTCCAAGATTTGGGGAAATATAGTGAACTTTTGTTCCGAAAACTTGTGACGTTTCCGAAATCCACCAGAGCTCTTCGGAATCATCCAGTAAGTACGTCCGTCATCCGTCATTCGCCGTCACGAACCTGAACCAGTTCAGCCCAGGGCCGGACTGAGAGGGTAACGGGCCCCGTCCGCCACCACCACGACACATAGGGCCCTCAAACACCAATACCCCCCCCCCCCCCGCTTCAATCGACTTCAAAATAACAAAATTCCTGCTCACAATTTGCTGGTTAATATTCAGGTTTGCTGTGGCGGCTGTGGCCACGAACTTCAGGGTGTGAAGCGCCGACCAAACATAAAATACCCGGATTTCCGCTAGCGATGCTAATGTTAATGCGGGGCCCCGGACGCTGGTGCGGCCTGCCTGGCCTGCCGCCTCTGGCCTGCCCGGCCCTGGTTCAGCCTCTGCAAGCTCTCATAGCGCCCTGGTAGGTAGGCAACGCCTTGCCTGCAGTGCATGCGTGTACTGTGGGGTGGCCCACCCTGAGACTCGCAGGCGCCGAGCTCCCGTGTAATTTGCCGAATGAAACTGACAAGGGGACTTAGGCAAGTGTAAATTCCCGATCTTGCCCAAACTCGGTATGTCTGTTTCTTATCTATGTTGATAACGACTGACGGTAGAATTTTTTCCTTAGTGTCAATTTTTGGGGTATTTTAGGGGAGCATATAATGGAAAAAGTATTGAATTTGGGCCAAAAATCACGGAAAGAGGTCTCAAGTCGAAAAGTGGCAGAGGAACTACCTGCCCCCCCCCCCCCAAAAAAAAAACAACGCTCATTTTGAGTCAGAATATCACTTAATATTTGTACAAAAGTAGAAATTTGTAATTTTCGAAATTATACTCTTTTATAGGGAGTCTCGCCATATGACACTCAGAAAAAAAATGGTCAGCATTCGTCACCTACATAGCTAAGAAGCAAATATAATGAGTTTGGACACGATCGGGAATATACACTTGCCTCCCCTTGTGAGGGAAGCGGACGTGATTTCTGGACGATCCCTTTCGGGCCGCGCGTGTTAGCGTTGTCTCTTGACTCTTCTGCCGAGCGCGCACCGCACCTGCTGCAGGGCGAGAATAATTGATTAATTGGGAAATTATGACTTTCCTGTGATAGTGACCAGTGGAGGAATACAAGAGGCGATCGAGATCGCCTTATCAGCGAAAATTCGTGCGATGACCGTGGAAAAATACAGATGATTTCTCACTTTATCGTAAAGAGTTAAGCATGGCAGCAGGTGTGTACGCAACAAAAAACGACACTTAAGTTGCCAGCTTAATTTAAGTGACTTTTTTTCGCCAACTGTAGGAAAATAGTGCTGCACTGTAATCAGCAAAGTTTTCATCATACTCAATTCAAATATGTAATCTTAATACCTTTACCCATGGCGCTGATCGGGAGATATGGGTCGCGGGACATTCCTCTGTTATTAAAGTCAGAGATAGTCCGCATACCTTGGAAGCATATTGTATTTGTTTTGTTGTTGTTGTTTTTTGTTCTTGGCATATTTTTCTCTAATTCTTACAAATCACGTTAAAGGGTGGCGCCATATGGGGGCGACTCATCAGCACATAGATTGGTCCTCACACTCATCAGATAAGAAATTAAAGTCAATGAAGTCAGGCTATAGAAAGAAACCGGTTTTGGCGCGGCTTCGGAAACTCGTGACATAAAAAGTAGTGACAATAATGTCTTAAAATGTGTCAATCGTAATGGGCTCTATGTCGTCTGGAAGAATGGCTGTGACATGGAACTTCCCGCACAGAACTAAAAGAGTTATTTATTTGCAAGCTGTAGACATTAGACTGCGAACACAATACGACGCGTCGCGGAGGAAGAATATAAGACGAACGTAAACCTCCAGGCTCCAGGAGGCGGGGTCTCCCTGGTGTTTTCTACGGCAAACCTTCAAGATGGTCGTGATGGGCGATGGGCCCTCACCCGCATGCCAATATGCTAGAATTGAGCAGCCATAGCGGTGACGCTGTATCGATCCGGCCGATAGTAATCACTCGACAATATGCGTAGATGCGGGTTTCGGGAAGGGGAAAGGGGAAGGGGAAGGGGGGGGGGGGCTCGGCATCTAGGTGTGTCGTGAGTGGCAGGGCAGGGCGGGCGTGAATGAGTTAGGGAGATTTGGGGGGGGGGATAACTGAGAACAGAAAGGAATTAGATTGTTTTGGCCTTCATCATAGAGAAGCTCTCAACTTCACACTCACTCGTCACCGTGGATTTACGAGGCGGAGGTTGATGAGGCTATTTGTATGTCAATGACACTTGTTGGTCTGCGCGTTGACGCTTGGCGCTCGCACCCGGGCCCTCGGCCGACCGCCCGGCAGCTGTTGGTTGTTGTATTACCAATCGAAATGGATCCAATTTGAGTACACACTTTAACCACACGTGATTCCGTACACTTAGGAATTTCCACACCGTTTTCGTCTTATTGAATGGGTGCTCGCTAAAGGTTCAGTACACCTAATATAGTGCCAGATTATTGACTATAACTGACGAATTGACAGCTGGCCTTGTCCATTGTTGTGCGATACGCGTACGGGGTACGGGCTCCTCGTAAAGACAGACAGACCGGATAGACAGCTCGCAGCTCGCGTTATCATGCACGTAGTCCACACGACCGATTTCAGGTTGACGTGCCCGCTATCCCTCCTGGAGTATAATCGGATCGGCGCGAATATGCGATAGAATGAGACTCCACGATAAACAACATAGAGGAGGGAGGCGCCGGCGCCGTTGCGTGACCTTTGCCAGCTGCTTTATTGTGATAATAAGTAATGTAAAAGGAAGAGGCGGGCTCGAGATCAGGGCCGGGCGCGCGGTATCAGTGGTCGAAAAGGAGGAGATATCCGAGTCAATTTTAGCCTGACCATTTCTCTTATTTGTTTCTTCTTATTCCTCTTTTCGATCGGGGGGTGAATGTTTGCTGTGCGAAGTGCTGCCCGCTGCTTGTCACTGACGCCCTCCTCTCTCTCTCTCCCTATGCGTAGCCCTGTCTCCACCACCGCAGCCATGGAGAAGAACGGCGTGAACGGGCACGACGCCAAGGCTGCCGCCGCGGCCCTCGGCTCGCCCAGCCACGGGGTCCAGTCCGGGCCCGAGGGCGGCAGGATGCTGTTCCAGTACCTGGGCGCCGGCGCAGGTACGTACGTCCCGCTGCTGTAGTGGTGAAGGCGCGAGGAGTGCCTCACTCACAATAAAATCAGCGTACACCCTTAAAAATAAAACAGTAAAAAATCAAGGGAAAATCAGGGGGGGGGGGGGAAAAAAAATATAAGAAAAAATTATCAGAATCTTTAAAAAGAAAAATCAAGAAAAACAGAAAAGTTGGTGTCCGCTTGAATTTATAGTGAAGCGCCCCTCGGGTGGAGGGGTAGCCCGGCGTGGCCCGACATAAATAAGGTGGGCGCTGACGTGATGTTGCCTGTGCAGCCTGCCTCTTCGCCGTCTGCATGGGCACCACCATGGGGTGGACCTCCGCGGCGGAACGACTCCAGTATAGCAACATTACCGGCTCCGACTGGGAGCTCGGCTCGACCGAGTACTCGCTGGTCGGGGCCTTCATGCCGCTGGGCGCCCTGCTGGCCGCGCTACCCACCGGCCCGGCCATGGCCAAGTGGGGCCGCAGGAACATGATGCTGGCCCTCAGCCCCATCCTCTTCTGCGCCTGGCTGCTCATCATCTTCGCGCAGAACGTGAGTAGTGTACTTATCGTGCCGAAAAGGCGTGCTCGGCCCGTGGAGCGCCTGCAGCGGCCAGGGTAGGCAGGCCGCCCAGCGCTGCGGCGCAGCGGCACGGCCTACCCGCGCTGGATACCGAACGCGCGACCATCCACAAAGTACGACTGTTAACGAAACTGCCGAGTTCAGCCCCCAAGTACCTGAGCTCTCAGGGCGCCTGCCGGGTAGGCAAACACCTTGCCAGCAGTGCATGCGTGTACTGCGGGGTGGCCTACCCCGAGTATCGCAGGCGCCGAGCCGAGCTCCCGTGATTTACCGGATGGATCCGAGTTACGCCCATGCCTCCCTGTCCCGCAGGCCTGGATGATCATCTTGGCCCGCCTCATCATCGGCGCGGCCATCGGCTCCATCTCGATGATCGCTCCGCTGTACTCCAACGAGATCGCCCACAAGTCGGTGCGCGGCACGCTGGGCGGGTTCTTCCAGTTCCTGCACACGTGCGGCGTGCTCTTCGCCTATGTTCTCGGCTGGGCGGTGAGTATAATACGGCGTCGACGAGTTTTCCATCGGATAATAATGCGTGTGTATTGGGTTTTTCATTCGAAGCGCACTTCCCCTCCTCTCAGATCACAGGTCCGATGACTTGGATCAGCGTCATCTGCGCCTGCGTGCCAGTCGTCGCCGCGTTAGCCTTCTTCTTCTTCCCCGACACGCCGACCTGGTACCTGCAGCAGGGCAGGCCGGAGGATGCCCGGCGGTCCCTCATCATGTTCCGCGGCGAGGACTACCCCGAGCACCTGCTCCAGGCCGAGCTGGACGACATCAGCAACGAGCTCAAGGCGGTACGTCCTGTCACGGGCGTTTTTGTAGAAAACCACCGCTGGGCGAGCAGGCGGCGCATGGCTAGTGAGAATGGTGACAACTAACGTGGTGTTGTGCTGACAGGCTGCTGAGAACAAGAAGACCCTCAAGGAGGCGTTCACGACGAAAGAGGCCAAGCTGGGTCTCGCCCTCAGCATGAACCTCATGATTGTCCAGCAGCTGAGTGGCGTTAGCGCAGTTGTCTTCTACGCCGCCAAAATTTTCGAAGTAAGTACAGTTTCACACGTTTCAAGTCTCCGCCGATAGAGTCCGACCAGATTAAGGTCGCGATTGGGTGCCGTGGAAACCCCTGTGCTGCCCGTGCCTTTTCAGTCGGCCGCGACCATTCTTCCAGACGCCCCTAGCATCGTTTGGTACCGCCGTGCCAAGCTAGTGCTCGTGTTGTGGGCTTGGCCTAACGGCAGGGTGGCTGCGCTTGTTTCTCTTGCAGAAGGCTGGCTCCACGCTGTCCAAGGAGGTCGCCGCCATCGTGATGGGCGCTTGCCTGGCTGGCGCCACCCTGGTGTCCCTGTTCCTGGTTGACAGATTTGGACGCCGGCTTCTTCTCCTGGTGTCCGGCGCAGCGTGCGTCATATCCAACGTCATCCTCGGCATTTACTTGCTTATCTTGGTAAGTTAGTGGTTGCAGCAGCACTGGCTCCCACCCTTGCGCTCTCGGATGTTCACGCTCTGACCTCTCGCGTTCTAGCACCTGAACGAGGATCAGCCGGAGGTCATGGTGCCGTACGGCATCATCCCCATCCTCACCATGAGCTTGTTCATGGTGCTCTTCTCCATCGGCTACGGACCAATCCCCTGGACTTACATGACCGAGGTCTTCACCATCGATATCCGGGGACCGGCCATGTCAGTCGCCACAATCACCAACTGGATCATGGTGTTCATCTCCACGGTGGGTTTCGATCCCCTCCAGAATGCGGTTGGCATCTACACCACATTCTGGATGTTCGCGGCCATCGTCTTCGCGGGGAGCGTCGTGGTCTTCCTGTTCCTGGTCGAGACTAAGGGGAAAACACCGCAGGAGATCCAGGACGCCCTCAAACGTGGTAGACGGAGAAATGCGTCAGGGGCCGCTTGAAATGTGGACACTGCGCGTGACGCCACACCACGGTGGTGAACAAGACTGATGGACTCGGTAGACGAGCCCGAAAGAACGCGGAGACGGCTGCGTCCTGACCCAGTCAGGACGATACACTACATGTATACCTCCGAACATCCTCGAAGGACCTAGCTGTGGACTGGCACAAAAGGGCTGACATGCTCGGGAAATGTCGTGTTCGTACTGTTGTCGAAACTAGGAGCCAGGCGTCCTTCCGTGTACAGACTCTCAAAGACTATGACATACAGTGTCGGCTTTATGGTAAGGAATATTGTTCAGTTTCTACTTACTCGACACAAAAAAAGATCTTGATCATATTTTAGAGATTGTTTTGTGACCTGCGATCTTCAGTGAGTGATAAGAACTGCGAGACAAGATTTTTTGTTACTAAAAAGGAAAACCCAACCGAACAAACGAGGCAACCCCGTACTTGCCGCGTTCTATGTGGTTACCTTTTCTTTCCTACTTAGAAAATCAACAGACTTTCAATTTAGTTGTTGTTTCGTTATAAATATTTCTCTCTTCTCTACTGTATGGTTTATAATCATAATTATTGATCTAATGTAATTGGTTCATTCATTAATCAAAGTAAAGTCTGGGAAAGATTTTAATCTGGAGAGGCACCACTAAATTTAATCAGACCTTCAACAGAATTTTGCCATTAAAGAATATCTTGTAACTTTTGTAATCTACCAAAAATTAAAATATGTTTATATGTTGTTGTTTTTTAAATTAAGTGTAATTTTCAACTCCCTTTGATGGTGTATCGCAAATACATCTTGAATCTACTGGAAATATACAAGACATTTTGAAAATGCAAACAACATTATCAACTGCTGGTCAGTTATTTATTTCAGACCTAGAATTTAAGCGAGCTCAGAAGGTACAATCTTTTGATGAGAACAGCGAGGAATGTTACTAGATCTTTTAGATGGAGACAAGAACAACTTCAACAATTGTGCACATAAAGTAGTATGTGTATTCTGTCGACCTAAAAAATTATGAGCCATACTATTTCTCTATAAAATGCAGAAAATGTGATGATAGAAAATCATTGGCTAGTAAAACCTTTTTATCTTTCATATACGTAATTGAAGAATTTGGAAACCTATCAAATAATATACATCAAAGTACAGTTGAATCTAAAAACAACTAGCTTTTACAATAAAGGTATAAATGTCTAATTAAAAATTTTCCAGACATGTCTAAGTAAGAACAACAAACACTACATTTCTTGAAGCATACTGAGCCAAGAAATTATAGCATTACTTGAAAAAGAATCCATAAGACAAGATTACGGAATAGATGTATGCTATCTTGCATAAAACAAATTATGCAAAGGCAGAAAACTGTGTTACACCACTCTGACAAATAAGATAATGGTTAACAGATATATCACAATGTCTAGAGGTCATTTTATACACCACTTCTCGAGCACTTTCGTACCACATTTTACCACGTCATCTGGATCACTAAACAAAATTAAGAAACTATAAGTTTTTTGAGTGGTTAGAGAATCAAGACACTGATAAAAAGGCAAAATTCTGTAATGCTGAGGGACTAAACAACTTAATTGTAACAAATGCTAGACATGGCAACAGTCACAATGAGCCCAATAGAATGAAATTGGAGGAAATACTAAACAAAAGAAATCAAAGAGAAATCATATTCAAATGCAAACTGGTATCATATAGGTACCCACACAAATTCTCAAAAGGACAGAAGCAGTATTATTATGAAATCAATAGATGAGTACACTATGTACTCACAATTTAACACCACCAGATAGATAGAAAAGAAACAAATGTTTGATGGTTTTTTTCTGATTGGTATGAAGATCAGTAGGGCACGCACACTTAACCTTTTAGAGAAATTTTTGCAGCTATAGCTCATAAACGGCTAGCGTAAAAAAGTTATAAACAGAAAAACTCAAATTTGACATCAAATTTAGATTTAAGTTTGCATGCCCTGAAGGTAAGAACACAAAATTATTCTGGCAAAATATGAACTGAAATTTGAAAATGTCTTTAACTTAAAATACACCATAGGTTGCTAGGTACACAAATTGAAGTGAATCAATCCAGGAAACTTAACTTTAACAGCAATAATGGAATGGTCAAAAATAAAACAAGGAAACCTTTTAGGCATTTTCAGTTGGTGCCCAGGCCCAAAGTTAAAAGAAAATACTGACAAACATTTAGTTATTTAAAGTATTTTGAAGTTTGCAACACAAGTTAAACAAATCATAGCCCATCCCACCTAGGCCAACCACAACCGTGTACAGTAGACATAGCCGAAGCAGTTCGACACAAAGATCCACATCTCATACACAACCACAACCTACATGTTTGTCAGTACAAAAACAAAAAAAAAAAAACACTGCTATCAAGAACTAGCTTGAGAGAGAAAAAAAGAAGAAAAAAGGGTAATCCTTTTGTTTCTTACAAAGAAGCCTTACACAAGAATTAAGATTGTGACAGCTTTAACTTTCCACAGTCCACAATGCAAAGAAGGATAATCATGAACCTAAGGGAACAAAACTGCCATAGGTACATGCTAATAATGAACAGAAGATTAACTCTGTTCTGTCTTCTTACTCCTTCTGTGTCACAGATAGGTTCTATTAAAATACCTGCTTCCTATGTCAATGGTAAAATTACACAATAAACAACTGGTAGCAAAATTTTACATTATTTCAGCATAGTATTCCATGAAATTTTTCCATGTTATGAAAATCAGTGTGGACTAATGCAAACTGAAATATTGTAGACAATGAAATACAATTTTTAAGAAAGGAAAAGAAAGACCGCTTGCAACAAATGTTGGCAGTGAAGAAGAGAGACAATTAGTGCAGACAAGCCTGCAATGTTGTTCAAATCCCAAAAGAACCTAAGTTGATGGTTGATTCCTGTTGGTTGTCAAAAGTCTTTTTCTACACCAGTCTTCGAGGTCAAAAGGTTGAAAATCTGTAGAGCCAGAATAGATGTATTGGTACAAAATGTTTAGGAAAACAGTATTTTAAACTTCTTGCATTTAACATACCTTTAAGTACAGGATTTGGTTCATTATCACAATAGTAATAAACTAAAGCTCCGCCTATAAGAAGACAACAAAATTAATATGCTTTAAGAGTTCTGGGTCATTTTAAACAAAAATCAATGTAATGCTTACCTTTGCCATTCTCTGCACCATTTTGGCTGTGCTGCTCCACTTCCCTAGAAACTTTATGCCAAGCTGGAAAATAAAATATTTAAATATTGACAATGAAGCCAAAAGAACAAAAGTTATAGGTGAAAAAATCATTAGGGATGCTTACATTCGTAAATAAACCTAATTAGCTCATCCTGTTGAGCTGTTTGAGTTCGATCATCTCGAAACCTAGTGGCCTGCACAGGCCTTTTCCCATTCACAGACTGCATCTGATTCATGGTAACAAACCTACAAAAATAACATAGATATAAACAAAATCAGTCAACAGCAGTGTTCAGAGTACATTTAGAAACTCATCTCAAGAGAGAAAATTGTGAGTAGGGATAAACCAAAAGGTTTAATATGGTCATGAGCAATGTGAACAGTTCGCTTCGGCAAATAAAATGAGACAAATTACAAAAAATCGTCGTGGAATTATGACATCAAAGAGCTAAAACAAAAATATACCACGAACATGTCATGAGGGTGATGAAGGTTATGGTCCGATTAAAAAAGAGAATAAGGCTTAGAAGTAATCTGCTAAGATTGACATGTTAAGCACCTCGCGTGAGATGAATAATGTGAGATATGACAAATGTTTCGTTGAAATAAATACTTTAGGTCTTTCAAATCAGAATAAAAAACAATAGGGCACTGCACTTTCCGAGCAGCGTCGACCCGTCATCGCATGCTTGTCGAATTTTGTTCTGGTAATGAGATAGCCGAAAATAGAGAGTTCAAGTTCAGAAATATGAGGGGAAATCACAAAAATGACGATGTTGATCGAATCACAACGAAGAAGAACTAATTGCACTTACAATTGCTTTTTCCAGAAGTCACTAGTCGCACCCTTGTTTATTTACAAATTGATCGAGAGATGTCAGACTGCGATCAGAGACAAACCCGGAAGTCAGCAACATTGCCAACCATATACATATTTCCGTTCTCAGCGGTCGCTTCTGCCCTTTTTTTCATACTTCCGGTCGGATCTCAGTCTTTCTTCTGCTGCTACTGCTGCTGCTTCTGAGAATAAATAGTAAACAGAACCAAACATGTGCATCAGTGTCGCTTGTGTTTAAATCTTACAGAAACTACCTACGGTTTTTAACTTTGGCCCGCTGATTATTACGTCCTTGCTTTGTATTAGTTAATTCACTTCACTATGGCAAAGCTCAGTTCGTGTTACCCACTATGCCCTTTAATCGACAGAAGTCCCATTGGTGTAACCTCTGATTCTATGCCTGGATGTGCCATAGTAACACTGGGCAAAAATATTGTGATTCGTTATAAGGTTTGTTGTGACACTTAAATTTTTTCAAACTAACTACTATTTATCTCTCTAGGATTTATTCTCTTGGCTATCAATATTGCGGTTAAACTGTCTTACAGCTATTGGTCGTTTCAGTAACTGCAACAGAATCTCAACCGTTTTTCTTTTTCTTTTCATAGCTGGCTGATCAGAAGCAGGCAAGCAGCTGGAGCAGTAAAGACAAACTCTCTGCTCCTGTTATATATGATGAAGTAGGCAAGCAATACATTGCGGTCTTTAACCAGAGCATTGTTCGGACATGGGATAGTACAGAGGTTGATTTAAATAAATTAAAGAAACTAAAGGTACATTTTAACAACATCAAAAAGTAGTGAAGTATTACCTATGAGGTTAAAGCATTTTAAATTTATAATTCAATGGTTCTTTTCACTTTCCCTGATTTCTTTTTCAGTTTGACCATCCTATTCATTCTATTTTAAACCGTTCATCCAAATCAGAGCCAGTGGTTGTATTTAAAAATGGAGCTGCAATATCTCTTTCTGCAGCTTTGTCTGACCGAAGAAAATTGTGGCCTGGGCCTCTTTCCTCTCATGTGACAATTAAGGACTGTTTTTTCATGAAATTGGATGGTACAGATTGCATAACTTTCGTAGTGGCTCAAGAAAAGGTAGGATAAGCTTTAGATATGTTACTGAGCTGACTCTTTCGTCATCTATATTGATTCAGTATTTCTTATTTTTGTAGGGAGGTGTTAAGCTGTATATTTCAGAAGTTGACAGCACAAGTGCCCCGTTGCTGAGTGTGCCATTGGAACGGGCAGACAAGAAACTCCTTGGTCACACGGTTATGGTTGTTGAAGGATCTGTTTCTATTCTTACCTTATGTATGTTTATTCCTTACCTGAGAAAGGCGGGAAAGTTCCATTCTTTCTTCATCTTGCTGTCGCTAATTAATTTTGAAAATAAACTATATTTTATTTTGCTGTTGATTAGGGAATGACGGACAGCTGTATTCACTTTCCCTGAAGAAATTTCCTTCCGAACAAAGTGGAGTTGGATGTGCAATATACACTGTGAAAGCAGTCAGCTTAAAGAATGTTGTAGCTATGACCCAGATATCTACTCATCATCTTGCAATATATGGAGCCGACCCAAGTGAAGAAGGTAAACTGGTGTACCAGTCATTTTTTGAATAGGCAGGATTATTTTCCAGCTCCTGTTAATGCAGGCTTTTTGTTAAAAATCAATTACTTATTTCATTTATTTTTAAAAAACACAATTCAGGTGCTATGCTTGTAATAGTAAATACACAATTCATGCTCGTTCAAGCTCATCAACATTATAAGTTATTCTCAAATAATACTAATCTTTGGATTATTGGAACAAGCTTATTGCTGGTTGTTGGAAACAGTTTGGCTGTGGTTCCTTTCATACTGGACACAGAACGGCTATGTGCCCTAATAGGCTCTCATAAGCCTTTAAAATCCAAGGTAAGAACAAGTAACTTCTCTTGCTCCTCTGATCACTTGTATTCATCAATATTTCTGTTAAAGAACCTTTTTTCTTTTTTGCAGTCAAATGAAGTTGAACAAATATTAGAAATGGAAAATGTTTCATGGGAAGATGCAGATAACATAAAATCCTCAATTGAAACAAATGCAGTGAATAGAAAAGACTGGGTTGGTTTGAAGAGTGTGGAAAATCTTGTAGCTCAAGGTTATTCTCAAGCTATGTAAGTATTTTATTTTTCCCTTAATTTGAAACTGTTTATAGTAATTGATACTTACTTATTTCTGTGTACTTCTCAGGTTGTGTGAAGAATTGATTCCATTTCTCATTGAGAAAGTAAAAATTCATGATATCATTCAACTTTTGAAAAAGTTGCCAGATTTTCCTGAGGAGTCGCTTGTTCGCATTCTAATCTTCTGTCTGGACAGCCCTGCTAGTGCCTTTAAGTCTATGAAAAATCAAATGGAAAATGGAGTGGACTCTGAATTGATGGAGGTTGATGGAGAGTAAGATCATAACACTTAAGTCTTTGGTTTGTTATCATCTTTAAAACTGTTTCTTTTTTCTAAATTCTGTCTTTCTATTTATTTTATTTAGGGATGACAGTAGAGACAGCCAAAATGCTTTAGTTGAACTGTCTCAAGGTCAAAGAATTTTGTTGGACGTCATAATAAGAACACCATTCAGTGAAGCTATTATTTTACCATATCTTCGTTCACGGTTAAATCTTCCACACTGCTTGGCCTTATTACAATACATTGCCCAAAGTTTACCACAGACAGCAAATGTTTCATACTCTAAGTCACTATTGAAATGGTCTGCAGTTCTATTGGACAGCCACTATCAACAGTTGCTGCTTTCCAAAGATGAATGTGTATCCAGCACAATTTTTGCCATCAAAGAATTGGTGGAGAGTCAGGTATGAAGTCAGCTTTACATGTGTATGGCAGTAAAATTTCTGATTTGACTAATGACAAGTTTAACATTTTCAGGTTGAGTACATGGAAGACTTAAAGGTTTTACAACCCATTTTAGAGAGAGTAAAATGTGGACAACTTTTCCAGAAGCAAAACACACTAACTAATAACTTTTACTCTATTGAGACGTTGCGATTATATTAATATCCAGATTCATTATTCAATAAAGTATTGACAAGATGATTGTTATTAAAATGAACTTGGTGTACTTATGCAGACTTATTATAGGGATAATAGCAGATAAAGCAATTAAATAAAATTGGAATACTTTATTTTTTATTAACACATCTGTAAAGATGAGCTGTTACCTACAAGCAGCATTCATTCCAAACGTAAATTGATGTTGTTGCACCAGTGCAAGCTTGACAGCAAGATGTAAGTAAAATTTACAATTTATTTACAGAACATTACATTCTACTTGAGTTGATCCAAGAAGGGTACATTTGCAATATCTCCCAAAGCAGCCATTGATAATTTGCCACTTGCAACTTTCCTTGCAGCCTGCAAAAACAATTTTTTTTTTAATTCACAGGAGAAAAGGTTCGAAGGTAGTAAAGTAGGTATTTCATCACTGCAATGACACACAACAGCCAAAGTCTTTATACAACACACATCATACTTACATTATTCACATCACTGGAGCTGACAGAGTCAATAGCAGATGCCACAGCAGCAGCAGAATCTGCAGATCCTTTCAGAAGAACTTGCTGGCCAATATCCTGAGTCAGAGTACCAGTGTTCTCAGCGGCTGAAAGAACAGCAGCCTTCAGGCCGTTCTTGCCTCGCTTAACTGCCTCCTCTGAGACATTACCAGCCTTCAGGGCCTTAACAGCTGCTTCAGTTACCTAATATAGTTTATGAATTAGTCAGGAACAAAATTAGCAATAAGACTGCAGCAGTATTTCACAGGCTTAACGTACCCGGCCAGCCACTTTCGGCTCACAGCTGATTACAAGACCAAAGAGACCAGCATCTTGGTGTGACACATTCAGAGCCGACACTGCAGCAGGTTCTCCAGCAGCAGCTTCAGTCACCAGCTTGCTCAGTGATCCCGCACCAGAACCATACTTAACCTTGGCACCAGTTCCAAGAGCATGTTGAAGAATGCCAAAAGCAAGGGCCTCTTTCTGGTTAATTCTAAAAATTGAAAATGGCAATTAAAATATTTTGTTTTCATATTTACTGAAAAGAAAAGGGATTCTGGAACCAATTCTACTTACCCTGCACCATCTGCAGCAATAGCAACATGTGCAAGACCCTTGCATCGCTTACGAAGCTCTCCTCCGTAGTATTGAGAGGAGGTTCCCAGGCCGCTTCCCTCTGCAAAGTTTAACCTTTCTGCAAAGATCTTAGCAGCATTGTTGCTTATACCGGTGGCAGAAACAACTGTGCGGTTTCCCAGGAAGGTATTTTGCACATAGTGATGCAGCTAAAAAATGAGACAGATTTATTAGTAATTGCATAGGAATAGAAAACATGCACTCATATGACATCCAAAATTTTACCGTTTCTGTCCCTTGACTTCCAACAAGATATTTGGGAATGAAGAGAGAGTTACCAAGACCAGTGCGATAAGCAGCACCATGAAGCATATCAATAACTCGAGCCTAAGAATAAATAAGTTGTAAAAAATTAATGTGTGTTACCTAGACTACATATTCTAAACATGCATGCCTAAACAGGACATGAACTGAATCCATTTACTGTAAATGGATTAAAAGTGGGAATGAATACCTGAGGAGGAACCAGAGCCAATTCATACTTCAGCCTAGGAATATTTTCTGCAAGCTCCCATGGATGGAAAAGCTGTTCAGTCGTCACGCTGTGCAGAACTTTCAGGCAGGGCTCCCTACAAAAAATACATGTTTCATTCAAATTTTTAAGTTACAGGGTGTAGGGTAACAGAGATAGCCCTGAAAGTCTCTTAAAACACAGACAAACTTACAGGGCTTGAACATAACACTCCAAAATATAGGATATTGAGTCACGATCATTCACAGCCCACAAATTGGCACCTCTTTCCTGGATTAAACGAGTGACGGCAAAGGTAGAAGTGCTTTTAGTTGTTAAGCCACAGGCTGACCGCAGGACATGAGCAACACCAATGTTGTCTGCAGTTTCGTAACGTGAGCCAGCTCTGAAAAGGACAATGGGTGAAGAAAAATAAGTACATGAGAAATAACACTTCCGAACACAAAAAGATCATAGAGAGTTACTAACTTAATCTGCACGGCCACTCGAACAATCGGTGAAGAAGATTCAACACTCACAACCTGGATCTTGTTGGCCAAAACACTTGTTTCAATAGGCAAATCACTTTCCAGGGCCCTGGCGGCGGCAGACCCCAGGCCACGCTTCTACAATCAAAGAGGTACACACTTCATTGATAGCTAATACTAACAAATCAATGACGAATTGTGTTGACCCAAACCCCCAAACTAAATGAGATGAAAACCATCTAAGAGGTTAAGGGCCGAAGAGGGAACGCAATGGATAACAACAGTCATTGAAAGGTACATGGGGGAAAATATACATGTGTGATTCTGAATCACCGATGTTTTGACCTTATTTAGAGAAAAAAATAAATCACTGATTTAATGTACTCTGAGAATTTGAACGAGCTTGCAGACGACAGCTTTCATTTCGTTAAGAACAAGTCGCGCAAAAAACAACAGAAATACGTCAAGACATCGTTCAAATCATTTTGAAAGAAGAAGATCACAGTGTTGGCGAAAACTTACGACAATGTGACGCATAAGCGGTAATTTGGCCATGTTTGAGGACATGATAACTTCTGCACCTTCTCCTCCTTCTGCGAGAAAGGTCGCCGAGCGAAGATGGCGACTACTATTTCTGACAAACGACAAACGTCGTATATTTCACAAATCAACTATTGTTTACTTGCTATTTATTTCAACTTGATGAAAATTACTCAATTTTTAATGGGATAAAAAAGTACGTTCGAATCACACTGTGTAAAGAATAAATTGGATAATTGAATTTTTCGTTGTGGTCATGACTCTCGTTGTCTTTATTTGTCTTTTTTTCTTCGTGTTCAAGAAGGCGCAGTGCTCTCCGTGTTTTGATTTTGAAGTTTGACATAGTCGTTTGAAACATTTTCTTTTTGAACTAGAATTTGTTTCTCACCCACCTCGCTTCGTTGGTTGTATCTTGAATGAAATATCTTTCGTATCCTTTGACATGTAAAACATATCAAATACATGAAAGAGAAGGTTAGGTTTGTGAGGAACCGTACAACCTCATAGTCACAAAATAAATCAAAATATCTCTCACGAGAATAATAAGTGTATGATGGACGCGAAAACACGTTCAAAAATAATAAAAACTCATGGTATTTCGTTTTGTTTTCCTCTGTACTGTATAATTAGCTTTACATGATATGGTTGAACATGTATTAAAACATTGTAGTGTTTGCTTTTTTAGATTCAGCAGATGCTAAAACTGCTACTATAGAAGATACTCAAGGAACTTATAGCGATATGTGCTCAAGTTCAGATTTTCCAAGCAGTCAAGAGTGCTTTTCTGTCGGCTGGGATTGGTCTGGTCAAAGTAAGTTACCCTTTATGGTTCCTGTCCTGCTTTCTGGATTTCTCTCTTTTATATTGTTTAGCTATAACAGCTATAACAGCTATAACACATGTGCTATTTATTTCCCAGAAAGCAATAAACCCTCCATTAGGGTTATTGAACGACCTGTGCATAAACGTACAAAAGCTGTTGAGCTTATCCAGTGCGTAAAGAACAGGCAGTTTGTGAGGGAATGTGATCCTGAAATGTTTGATGCTTCTAATTTTGTTGACAAGTTAAAATCGCTTGCAGCTGGATTTAAATGTATGTTTGCCATTGAAAGATATGACTTATTGCAGTTATTTTTCAATTTTATAGTCAACTTACTTATTTTCATATACAGCAGGTGTACCTGAGTCAACTTCACCTGTAGCCTCACCACCTCCTTCAAATAGGCGGCAGGATTTACTTGTTACACCCACTGCTTTAAGAAAACCAACAGCCTCGTCTAAATCAGAATCATCTAGTAATTCCACTACTACTTTTGCTACAACAAGTTCATTAAGTTTTGAAGGTGTCAAAGAAAATTTAAATGATTTGCTGGACGACTCATTAGGGGCAGATTTATTGAAATGCACTCAAGATTTGGAACAAGACTACAACCAAAAAGAGCTCAAAACTCCATCTCTACCAGAGGTTCGCCTTTCAAGCTCCAAAAGAAAGCACCGGCTGAGCTTGAGCTCCAAGAAGAACTCCAAAACAGTATGTAGAAGAATTAATGATGTTTATGAAAAACAACCTGTTGAAAATCAGAAGACTGTGTTAGTTCACACCGAGAAAAGTCAAGATAGGCAAAACAATAACAAAGGTGGCTCATCCAAAAATGAAATTATCTTTGATGATTTTGATGATGCAGCTTTGCTAACACTTGGTGAATTGGAGGAGAAAGTTGTGAAGTCCAAATCCATGATGCCTGATAAAGAAAGCATTTATAATGCTGATATTTCTAACTCCAAAAATATTCCAGGTAATTTTTAATCTTTGACAACTTCTTTCTATATACTTAAATATCTAAAAATGGCTTTTATTTTCATTTTTTAAAATTTATTAACAATTTCAGGGTCATGTAATGCTCTTGAAGATGATGAATTTATTTCACCAGAAATTCTCAACATGTTAGATGCCTGTGAAAGTAAGTGCCAAGTGTGTTTCCTCTGTGTCTAGTTTTTTACATACCATGTTAGAATTTTCAAATTAGAATTCTAATATATTGTATTTCATCATTATGACAATGTTCTTTGTCTTCAAGAAAAAGCAACCCAGGAGAAACCTGGGCCATCAAACTCATCGTTCCCAGCTGCAAGTGAGGCTAACAGGCATCAACCTTCCATGTCAAAGAAACAGGTTGTGCCTCCATGTAAAAGTTCATCATCTAAATTTTTGTTGCATTCAAAAGAGCATGGTATGTCTTGATTAATTTTATCAAGTACTGAATGAAAGCCACTTTTAACCCTTTATTTACATTATGTTTCATAATTTATTCTATTATGTAGAGAAGTCTTGTAGTAAAGTGAGAGCAGAGGCCAACAGTCATCATCCTTCTAAGAGAGAAGTTGCACCTCTATCAGCTGAAGGTGATCATCAAGGTTCATCATCAAAAAATTTGTTGGATTGGATCGAAGAAGAACATGGTAGGCCTTGATTGTATTTATTTTCTTCTGAGCCGCACCCTTCTTTCACGGTATCGAATTTGCAGGGGACTTATAGGATTCTTTCCTATGACTCCCCTGTAAAATTTGTGAGTGTGGCTTAGAGTTAAATTATTCGCTGAAATAAACCCAGTACTAACATTATGTAAATTTATTCCATTGTGTAGAAAAATCCATGCATAAAATGAGAGGAGAAGCGACCAATCACCAACCTCCCAAAAAGTCTCTCTCAAGGGCTGATGCTGTATTAAAATGTACACCAGAAGAGATTGAAAAGAAACGGCAAGAAGCCAGGAAACGTCTGCAATTAAAAAAAAGGCCACGATAGCATGTTTGGGTTTGCCAACCAATCCTGACCTTATTTTTAATTAATCAATGAAATCTTAACACAACTATGGCTGTATAGTAATAATTATTTTTGTGTTTATGCAATTTACTCACATATAAAACCTGCCTCTCCATTTGCAATGATTTATTTCTTCTTGATTTCTTTGCAATGGAAAATGTGTTTTGCAGAGGGCTTGTGAGCATTTTCCTAGCCTTCCCAAAACATTTGCGGTACATTTTATATCTTTGTGTGTGTTGTATTTGTGTAAATATTGTACGTTGTTGTCAGAAACTCTGTACTCGCAGCTTAATTAATTTTTTATGTGCCCCAGTGACTGTGATTTATACTCGATGCTTGCATTCTGTGATGACATTCAATATGGCATGAATTTGTGGCCATCATTTAATATGAATGTGTAGGCATGTGTAGGCAGAAACGTACAAAATTTCATAAAAAGGTAATATTTTTTTTATTTTTAAGATTTTATCTTTTACCTTGAAATTAAAAAAATCAATGTAGTGTAAATCTAGAGGGAAAAGACTCATTATTTTTTTTTTATCTATCTATATTTGATTGTAAACACATATTTTTGTTAATGAAGTATTTCATTGATTCTTTGGTGTGCCTCATTAGCAAACTTTTCTTAGTTTTATTGCAATTGTTATGTTTATTTTGCTAATGAGGCTCCTCAAAGAATAGCAAATTTATCCAATACATACAACAGTATGAATATGAATACAGAAAATACATTTGTGATTGCTTATAACATAAACCTTATCCTATTGAAGAAACATTTATAGTAATCAAAACTAGGATATTTCACAAGTTGCCGATCTTGAATTATAGAATATGCTAGTTTATATTTGTTGACATTTTCTAGCGGAATAGTATAAACGGCTTCATCCAGATCATAAATATTTTGTATGCGATTGATATGGCAGTCATTCTTGCAGCTCTCTCTTAGGAAAAGAAATTGAGAAATTAATTTATTATCACAGCCACCTGAACTCCACTAGCCTGCAATAAGCCAAGTGCTGGTGGGTTTGTTTGTTTTTTTGATTTATTTCCCGTGAAAAACGAAACGTATATGGGTCATATATTTGCTGTATATGTCTACTTTGTGCCCGTATATATCCGTATATACCCGTATACAACCCGCATATGGCTGGTATATGGCGAATATATCATACATGTGCGATATAAACAGGTTCCATATACGTTCTGTTTTTCACGGGAATTACTTTTTGTCTTGGGAGCAATAACTTCTGGACAGTGCGAGTATACGTTGCCACTCCCAGAAGACTTCGCTGTCCTCTGTCACGGCCGTGCTGCAAGCTGCAAGTGGGCGTCACTGCCACTGACGCACCCTCTGCAACGCGTCCTGCGCCGCACGGCCCACCGCGCCCTCGGACGAGCTCTCCGGCTCGAGGCAAAGGATGTGCGCGGCCTGCTCCAGGCAGGACGCCACCTCGCGGAGACGCGTGCGGAGGTCCTTCCGAGAGATGGCGTTGGCCTCAAACTGCCTCGTTGTCAGGATCATGATGGGCGCGTGCATCTCGTACAAAGTGATGCCTGGTAGTGACGCGCATTGGTTAGTGAACGGCTGACCAACGCCACAAAGAGCACAGAGAGTAGGGCAGGTAGGCTAGACTCACCTCTCAGCCGCGACACGCCCGGTTCGAGAAGGTCGAATATACTCAGAATGTCCCTGCAGATGGTGAGTTTCCTCTCTAGAAGAGCGTCGGGGAGCTGGTGGATGAGGTAGCCTTGCACCTTGCCGTACACCTGAGACAGTGAGTGCTTTGCGCCGAGCAGCAGGAAGTGGTTGGGGTGCAGGCGCGCGGCGTGCTTCACCAGGAAGCCCTCCAGGCCCACCACGTCGTTGTGGTCCAGGGCCTCGCTCTCGTCCGTAAGCCTGCAAAGTGGGGCGTTCAGATCTGTTCGGAAGTCGGAGTTCCGGTCTCGGGGTCGGGCGTGACTTATTGTGACTTACTTGTCGAGGAACTCCTTGACCTCTTTGGCGGTCATCTCGTAGCCGGGGCACGGCTGCTCCTGCTTGGCGCCGGGCCGGGGCTCCAGCCGGGGCGGGACGCACCGCCACGGGGCGTCGGCCTGCAGGGGGTCGGTGGGCAGCACGGAGGGACGGCCGCAGCGCGGGCACACGAGCGCCGAGCACATGGAGCCGAGCTCGGTGGGGTCCGAGCACCGCGAGCAGCAGCAGTCGAAGAACTTGCTTTCCTTGAGGTGCTCGCGGCGCTTGAGGGTGCCCTGGATGGTGTAGGCGTAGCTCAGGGTGATGGCGTGGCCCTTGGGGATGGGCACCGAGGCGCGGAGGGACAGCGCGCGGAGCTCGTCGTCCGAGTGCGACGTGTTGGGCGTGCAGTCGTGCGCCAGCAGGAAAGCCACCCCGTACAGCGCGCGCAGTCCGTCGCCCACCTCGAACGCGTTCACCTGTAGTGCCATGAAACACAATTTTTCGATCGAACCAACCGGACGTGGCGTCGACGTGCCCCCACATGCGGGTCCCAGGCGCGGGTTAAGGGGGAGGGGGAATCACTCCCCTGTCGTCTCTAGAGAGCCGCCTGAAAGGTAGGCAATTTGCGCCACAAAAACCCTGTATGTAGGCAACCGACAGTGCACCCCCCCCCCCTGTCAGCCGGACCTTAATCCGCCCCTGGCGAGTCCCACCTCGAGGATGCCGCACAGGGTGTGGATGACGTCCTCGGGGTACTGCTGCAGGCCAAACTCGTTGCGTATCCGGTCTACGACGCCGAGCTGGTTGGCCTGCCACACGCCCGGGATCTGCCGGCGAACATCGTCCTGGGACTGCATCCTGTACACAGAAGAGCCAACGTCAGTAAGCAATGCCGGGAGCCATCGGCGGCGCGGATCGTCGTGGGGAGCCTAGCCTGGTGCTCACTTGTGGATGGCCTTCCAGCGGGCCGGGTCCTGCTTCTCCAGCAGCAGGATGCGCAGCGGGACGATCACGTTGTACAGGGGCGTGCGCGCTCTCAGGTCCACGACGCGCCGCCCGGACGGGCCGGCCGCCGACAGCGCGGCGCACTCCTCGTCCGTGTGGCCGAGCCGCACGGCCTGGCCGCCGGCCTTGTCGTCGCGCTCCAGGCCAGGGCACGTCGGGCAGCACAGCGGCCACTGGCACCCCATGCACCTGTGGGCCGAGGGCGCGCGAGTCAGCCGGGCTTGTCGCTGGTATTGGTCGGCGACCATGAGAAGACCCTCGCCGAGGAGACCATCATCTATGTTGCAGACGTCCTAAAGAAGTCGAGGTGGGGAAAATGGTGATTCATGCCAGAAAAAGTCCCACACACGCCAGAATACTATTTCACGCCAACGGGTACATAATTTGTATTTACAAAAGTCATTTTCACAGGTGTGAAGTGTGTCGCTTTGCATCTCCGCAAATCTACAGCGCAATAGCGACCATTCCACAGTTTTGCAGGTAAGTGTACAGCGAGGGGGCAGTGACTTCTAGTATTCACAGTTCACGAGGGGATTAATACCTCCAGTATTCAGGCGATATTCAGTGATTATTCAGTGATATTCACTATTAGAGTGTATTCACAGTGCACGAAATTTCGGAGTTGGTGCCCCCTCGGTGTACAGGGTGAGGGTGGGCCACACTGGTGCACGGATGCCAGACTGATTGCCTATCTTCAGTATGACAGGCGTTCCTCAACCAACACAAACTAATGTTTGGATGGAAGTGCGCGATCGAAGGGCTGGCTCTTCGCGAGCTTTATGTGTGTAGGGAATTCGGGTTCAAGATTAAGGTAGTAGTTGTAGTACTATGATAAAAGTAGATTATGAGAGGGATGTGTCGGAAAGAACAAATCGATCAGTAGGGTAACAAGACGAAATGATGCAGTTTGTTTCATGCTCACATCAAACCAACGCAGTTCATTAAGTACTGTATATACATTCTGTTAAGATTGGAGGAAAAGTGGTTGCCTTCAGTAAAATAATAAATAAGTTTGAGGATTCGTGAAAATAAACCAATCACTCAGGAACAACAGTAGCTCACGGTTTCGGCAACCACCATTTATGATGTTGGCAAGTGTTCACTGTCTCTTCAGTAACTTACTGCCAGGGAAATTTAACAGAGTCAAGACAAAAATCCGAATCTCAGCATGCCGAAATAAGAATATTTTTTCCTCTTCAGGAATTTCCATAGTTATATAATTAAAATAGAGGGGCGGTTATTTCAGGCCATTTTGGATAATAGGTTGATGGGGGAAGGATGTCACCAGGTGTCTCTCTCACACACACAAACCATGTCGAAAAACAACTGTAACCGCAAGCAAAAAAAACTGTTACCACATCTCAAGAGATCCGCGGCGTACCTATCACAGTCTTCGTTGTCAGAGGACCTGATAACACAAACATATAAAAGCATAAACACTTTAAACCAGTCCCCTGGGCAATATTCAAAGGTTCCATCTCCTCCTGACCTCCACGCGCGACGACAACTGCCTCAGTCCATCTGCTCTCTCGCTGGGTGCCTCTTCCCCGCACCCCCGCGCTGCCCGTCCCACCCTTACCTGATGTAGTGTTCGCCGTCGAACTGCTTCAGGCAGCCGAGGCACACCGGCTTGGCGTTCTGACACGGCCCCACGACGAGAGCCTCCTCTCGCACGATGAGCTCCCCGGCGGCGATGTCCTTCGTCGCCACCAGATACCTGAAATATTTGGCACACGTCCGTTAAAATCCCCCTTCTGGTTTTTATTCGGCGTGCGTCTTCGTTCAACAGAACCGATAGAGCGTTTTGAAACGACATGAAACATTTATCCTAGGTGGCCAATTCGTCCCACCCACTTCCGTAGCTGGACCACATTACACGCACCCGTTCAGGCCCTTGCACCGCACAAAGTACGTCGGGCACTGGCTGTTACGAACATGCGTTGTTCGCCCTCTTCGAGCTCCCAGAGCGCCTGGTAGGTAGGCAACGTCCGACCTGCAGTGCATGCTTGTGCTGCGGGGTGGCCTACCCCGGGTCTCGCAGGCGCTAAGCTACCGTAATGTGCCATATGAATATGATGCAAACGGACGCACTTTCTGCCGGAAAACCCCCTTGGTTCGAGCGATTAGGGAACCCACACGCGTGGAGCGATCGGTACAGTTTAACTACGGAAATGAGCGGGGCGGATCAAACCGCCTGCGTGTGACGTGGACTGGCTCTTACCGACCCATGGTGGGAGAAATCTTGACTTTGTACGGCTTTCCTGGCGAGTCTTCCCAGTCAGGGTCGTCCGGATCATGGTTGTTGTTGTTATTATGGTTGATATTGTTGTTATTGAGCTGCTGGCTGGCTTGCTGCTGCTGTCTCTTGTGGTTCTTTTTGTTAGACTTCGACTGAAACAGACCAACAAAAACAAAACGGTGAGACAACGTTTAGCTGAAATCGGTCAAACTGAAATGATAAATACTGCTTTCTTCTTTTATTTGTTTTACTCATGAGCAGCTCCTTGGCAATATCCCCGACAAAGCGAGAAGCTTTTGTAGGGGATTACCACCATTCGCACAACACGTCTTTCTCTGTCCGCCGCCGCCGCCTGTCGTGCCAGGAAAACAGAGGGAGTGAGAGAGAAAGATGGAGGAATGGTAAAAGAGAGATGGGTATATATAGAAAGGAAATCGGTTCGCGCCTCTCGCTGGGTCCCGCGGGAAATAAAGACCCACAGCATTGACATCATTATGACCCGAGCCCTTCGAGACGCGCCCAAGCGTCCACCCACAAGTCACCGAGCTGTTTTCGGCAGCTGTTCGTGGCCCAACAGGGGCCCAGACAGGGGCCCAGAGCGTTTAGTTAGAAAGCATCCCAAGACTGCTGGCTCCCCACCCCTCTCTCCTCTTTTTGTTCTTTTCGGTCGTAAAAGTGAAAAATAGAATGAGGAACCATCCGCGGTGCAAAGTAGCAACAGCAACGGAGGACGTACGACGAACATCTCGACGTGAGCGGACCCAGCACCGAACCGTCATGTGCATAGATGTACACACTTTGGAATGAATCGCCAGCCTCACCACCAACCCCCCCCCTACAAAAAAAGAACAACAAAGTCCCAGTCCCAGAGTGATCGCTCAAAGAGCTTCCCCGACTCACGTTGCGTTGCTTCCGGCTGTCGTGGTCACACATGTTGCCGGCGATAGCTGCTCGATGGACGATTCTCCACGCCAATGAGCAGAGTCGGGGTTGTCCCCCGGTCTTCTCCCCCTCGGCTTACTTTTAATGTCTAAAGTCCACGGCCCGAGCATCACATTCTAGACGCCATGCTCGAGTTGGCACAGGCTCATGCCGCCGCGGTCATCATCACTCTGCTGAAAACCTTTTCACAGATTAGCCTCGCGTCTGGGCGGGCCGAGGGGGCCGGCCGGCCTAAAACGCCGTAAAATTGTTGTTTACGAAAACGGACGCTGTAAGAACAGTGCCGCCTCTCAGGACGAGGGAGATAATAAGTGAAAAGGACGGGGAGGGGGTGTCCTGTCCCCGCTGTCATCAACAGGACCCCCCCTGCATCAAAGGAAACGGGGTAGAGCGGCCTTTTCCCGAAATCGCAAAAAGAACTCATCAAATTAGTGCCTGTCCGCCGGGGCGCGCCCGGCCGCCTCCGCGCGGGCAAACGTGTTTCGTCTGGGAGTGCGGCCGCGGCGGCCGGGTCTTCAGTCGGCCTGTCGCATTTCACAATTCTCCCCCCCCC